ATGTTATAAGCTTCTGTTGTTTTCCTAGTTCCCATACATTTCTTTATGGGTTTTACTTGAATTGTATGAAAGTACAGATACCAATTTGTTTATAACGAAATTAAATTCATATATATGTATATATTAACATGTATTTATACATAGAGAATTTTTTGTTCTATACTTAAGATATATTCTTTAGAGATATTTTATTAATGATGAAATGAAAGGACAGTTTTTTCTACGCCTTCATTTTTCTGATTTGAAATTTTCTGTCAACATTTGAATTTTTACCACCCAACATATATACCCATCAATAACGCAAAATTGTAAAACAGAATCTTTTACCATGTCTGTGTTTGAATAGGTGACTAGAACATATGATGACTAATATGTTCTGAACACATATTTACTTTTTGTATATCTGTGTAAATGATTGGAAACGATGGAGGGAATATTTTAGAGATGTATCATTATATGTCAGACTTTGAAGCACATTCCATTGCTCTCATGTGTGAAGATTGTTGCATGTGATGAATATGTTTCTCTTTCACAGCAAACATGTGTATGTAAGCCATCTATAGCAAGATTTTATTCTAAGTGTTTGAAAGGCTATTGCAACCATGGGATATTGCCAGACAGTTAGTAAAAGGCAAATTGAGTCTGTTGAGAGATTAATTCACCAGCTGAAAGAAATACATTTGCCTCAGAGTCATCAGATATTCTACCCACCAAATTCATCCTCTGAGATAGCATCCCTAATGAGCTTCCTAAACCAATTAAACATAAGCAGGAAGCATCAGTCATCAAAACTATTTTCAGCTAATCAGCTGACTGCACAAATTGCATGGTGCTGAGGAAAAAAGGAACACTCTAAAAGTTGTTGAATTTTTTTTCTACTCTGTCCTTACTTTGTAGGCTTCTCAATTTTATGGATGTGGTGTTTTGCACAGAACACTGTAAATGAGTGCGGTGCTTTATAGTATATAAAGTGCTTTCCTTTGGATTATTATTCAATAGAATAAAATGAGCTTTAATGGGCATAAGTGATTTGCTTAAAGGCACACAATTAATGTGTGGCTGGGACTCAAAATCATGCCCTTTCCTATGTTGTAATATTTCTGTAAGTATGTATGTATTGATCAACTCTCTACCCTCCATGACAGGGGGATCGGTTGGAGTGTTCAAAGTGCCATCCTCTTTACACATGGACAAACTCAGAGCCAAGGCAGGATGAGGATGAAGGGAGACATTTTTACTCTGATATGGGTTCCCTCCTTCAAAGACAGAATTAAGTTAGTGATATCATGTCATATTGTTTATAATGATGAAGAGAACATAAAACAAGCATACGCAAAATTATAAACATATAAATTCACACAATTTCTGTGAGAAAACCAAATTGCTCTGCAGTGGAATTTGGGTGCTGGGGGGTGCTGCTTTAGATATAATTTTTTTTTAAATCAGTATATTTTATGGGACCTTGACTGGAGGCTAAATTTGAACTTTTCATTATGGACTTATTTCCAAAGTATGTCAATGGTTGTTGTGTGAGGGGAGGGGCTAATTTGCTTATGTTAATTTGGAAAATGCAAGGTGAATCTCAACTAAACAGATTACTTACTGTAAGATTCCCCATGAGCCTTTAGTTCCTAGATCTCAAGAAGGGGACATAGGATGAATTTCCCAAACATTTCATCCCAGGACTTCTTTCTGTGACTCATCTATCCAGACTGATATTTCTCTGCTGGGTACATGTTGAAACCAGTATAGAGTCACAAAAAGCACTAAGGCAGAGAAATGACATGGTGAAAATACTGATTTGAGGAAAATAATATGCTGGTAGTAGGCAGGAGAGACCAATGTCCCCCCACAATGAGGGAGTTGGGGAGATAAGTTGTAATGATACCTGAATAGTGGAGGTGAGTTGTTCTATTTTAAGATGCAAAGTAGTAGAATACATTTTATATCTAACTACTGCTTACTGGTGAGCTAAAGAGTAACAAGGGCTGCAAATAAAGACTTGAGTGTGCTCTGTATACAGGTGAGAGCACAATCTGTTACGATGGGTTCCCAGAAAGAGACTAAAAAGAAAGAATAGGGGATTTACATTATTAGCTGAAACATTTTTACTGTTTTGGAAGTGAGGAGAAAGATGATCAAACTAAGGAGAAATCAGAATAGTTTAGTCCCAAAGAAGTGGCATTTTGAATAAGGGTCTAACTGCAAAAAGCTCATTGTTTTTGTTGATTAGAAATTTATTGGGAATTTTCACAAATGAAGTTTTAATATAATTGTGAGAATGAAAATGAACTACTGTGGATGTATGATGATTGAGAAGTAAGATAGGGAGCATTTAAAGCAGAATCTTCATGCAGAGGAGATGCAGATGGAGATGTTGACTCTACCAGAGAGAGATGGGATCACTGGGGACCTGGAAGCATGGATCAGATGGGATCGTGGATATATTTGGATAAGCTGATCATTCGTGAAATTCCTTTTGCCATGTAATGCAATGGATGTGACAGTGACATATTCACAGTCCCAGGGATTTGAGTAAGAAGTCTTGGGGCCCATTTTATAATCCTGCTGCACCACAGATGGTTTAAATTAAAATATAGTTTTATATAGTATTATTTCTTAAAAATATGAGTTTGTGTGCCTTAGATGTTTCTTGGAGTGTCACTGAAGTGATGGAGAAGATAAAAGTAGTAAATATATTAATTTTTTTAAAAAATATTTTTTTCTCTAGTGTCATCTATTATTTTTGCAAGTCAGTATAAATTAATGAATCATTCTCTGATAATTAATGCATTTAATTGCTTTCAACCAAAACCAGTTACCTAAAACAGTAAGTTTTGTTTTACATGTGCTATCTTTCTTTCTGCGTTTCTGAGTTCAAATTCACTGAGCTGGATCTTCGTGACTTATACATTGTTGGTGCTGTTTGTGAGATTCTTTCTTGTTCTGACCAAGGTCCCAGTAAAACATTGGAAGAATACTTAGGAAAGTAAAGGGGAAATAAAGTTGAAATTGGAAAACGTTGGGAAAAAGTGTCAGTGACAAAAGGAATAACACATCATCAGAAAGTTTGGCTTTTATTGTACGTGTAAGCTATGACTTTGAAAATTTTTAATGTAAATCATGTAATCGAATTCTTTATCAAATAAGTTTTCAATTATTGTGTTCTGAGTGCTTAAGCAATATTGCAATAGAATATATAATAACAAAGATAATAATTAGCAAAATATATTAATTTTTAATGTGGCAACACCATGCAGTATAATTTAGGTATTTTTCTCATAATAAGAACAATGATCCAGGTATATTATTGTCTTTATTTTAGTAATGAAAGAGCTGAGTTATTCAGGGACTTGCCCAATGTCCAATGTCATATGATTAATATATGTCAGAATCAGGATTTAATTCTTGGTATGTTGGACCTCTGAGTCCCAGCCCTTTATGATTATGTTAAATAACAAATGATAAATGGTATTATTGTATTAAAAATTTATAACATTTAAATATAATTTTTATAATATAATGACATTTATTTTTCCTTTCCTTTTTCAGATTTTTGAATTTTTATATGCTTTATTACGTATCTGTATTTCCCCATTGCCACACCCCACTATAGGAAGTAGCATACATATCTGTGCATTAAACACAATAAGAAGCTTGGTTTAACTTAATCCCAAATTCACTTGACCATGGAAGAAGCCTTCTTTTAAAATTTAACACCTATTAACACTTGGGAAATGCTGATCAATAGAAATAAATCCTGATCAGAATTTTTTAATTATTGTCAAATTGTTTTAACATTTCATTTTTGTCAAGGAAAATAAATTTTAAGAAAATACATTTCAGAATTCGTGACCTAATTTTATTTTGAAAGTTTATCAATTGTCAAAGTCCAGGTGCTTAATCTTAGTGTTCTTTATTTGCTAAACATATTTGTCTTACGTGTACCGAGGATGGATTGCTCTTTATTTTATCAATATACAATGCCATCATTGAGTTGTGTGTTTGATTATTGTCTGCTAATTAATACTGTTATCTGGAAAATCTCTAAGAAATAACCCTAATACTTTCATGAAACACCCTGAAAATTTTAATGCCCATTAACTGTTCAGCTGCAATATATTTCATTCACAATATGGCAGGGCCCTCTAGTGCTCACGCTTGGTCACGTGTCCTCCAAAACTGCGTTAGAGGGGTAAATGTCACATATTGGATCATTTTACTCAGTCTTAGCTTTAAGTGAAATAGTCTATTATTCATAACATCACCTTTTGGAAAAGGAGTTTAGGCATGTCCAGTATTATTCAAAAAATTTATTTTCCCCATGCTCTAGGGGGAAATGTCTAGTTCATCTATTTTGCTCATAAAAGTAAATGAGATGCTTGAGAACCAAGAATAAGAAGTTGGTTAAATTTCTTAAGTAATTCATATAAATGGAAGTAGAACCTAAGTCTTTCCGTTCCACGGTTCAGTTCTGTGCCATGTACATTGGTCTAAGTATTTAATCCATGAAGTTTAAATAAAACTATAAATGTACATGTCCAGAATTCTATATTCCTTTCACTGAATCTTTTCTGGAAGAATAGCACTCTTCTTTTTGGGAAATGTTGGACTGTTGGTTTACAAAACAGTACAATATTATCAGGCAATACACTGCAGAGGGGGTTGTGTTGTACTGGAGTTTGATTTACCCTGCTTAAACAGCGGATTCTCTAACCAAAGTATCCATGGGCAAGAAGACCTGGTTTTATTTGCTTTCCAAAGCTGTATCACAGAGCTAATAGGCAGACTGTAGCTCTTTACAGCTATAAGATCTTGCCCATTATTTATTATTATTTCAGTAGTTTTTGATCTTTCTTGCATACTTGATGTGGTAAGGTGTCTACATCAAAACAGTGGATCCACATAAGAAAATAGTTCTAATTTCTACATATTGTTGAATAGCGTCCTTAAATGATTTGAATTTTCTATTAATAAATGTATTTGGTATCCATGTTTAGCTGTTACAGGGTAGGTCACCCAAGCCCAGCAAGTGGGAACTTCACATGGGCAGTGGTGGCGACATGGCTGAACTGGTCAGCGGGGGCTGTGATGATGAAGATGGTTGCAGGGGATCAGGAAGTGGAGAAGTCAAGAGGACACTGAAAGTCACAGACTGTAAGTGTATGATTCTAACACCACTTCTGAAGCATGGATTTGGAGACATGATTAAGGAAAATTATTACTATGAATATAAAGAAATAATGGTAGTGAATTCAGAAAAATGCAAGAGGAATTGGAAGTGAAAATAAACCCATTTTTTTTAGTTATTCAGGACATGCATTCTTGGGGTTTTTGTTTCTTTTTAACTAATGACTTTAAATGGAAATGATATTTTTCTGTGAAAAACTAGTGAATGACCATCAGTTCTGAGAATTCATAGTTTTAAAGTGGGATAGTCTATAGGGTGTGAAATAGCTAGTATGGTGGGCAGTAAATGTATCTTGGTGAAACCAGGATGTGTGAGCCCTACTAAATACTAACATTCTGCAATTTTATTATATTATCATGCCATTAGATAAATTTTATTAGGTTTTCATGTTCAAATTACAAAGAAACTGGTTAAATATATGGTTAGTTATGGTGAGAAACTACTTGGGTTTAACTCCTATGAACTGGTTCTTCCAAAAAAGATCTCACCAATTATTCACATTGTTTTGATCATGTGGGTTTAAAAACCATTTTTGGTATTGCTGGACTGGTCACTATTACAAATGATAAAACTACCAAATAACAACAACCAAAAAAATCACCAGATGAATTCCCTTTCCTTGTCTTCACATACAAAATGAGGAAGATAGGCTCTTCATTGTTATGTGCATGTATATGTTCACACAGGCAAGACAACCAAAGTTATCAACTGAGAAAGAAGTGTGAAAGTTAAGGTACCCAGAGCAGCTAACTTTCAACTATTCACTTAATTCAGGTCATACCAAAGGGGATTACTTTATACAGTAATCTTCTGGATCTGTGCAGCCCTATCTGGAGGCTGGCCTGATAGTCTCCCTCTAAATCACAAAGGGCTGCTTTGGACCTGTTAGAAATGTCTTTTCATGACTTTGGTGGGAGAAGAATTCATTTACTTTTCAGTTCTCTTGTAGTAAATTTAGAACACTACCAACGCTTCAAGCATCAATACCCCATTCCTTCTAGGATTTTGTTTTGTGAGGCTAAAGGAATGGAAGCTGAAAGGGGTACAAAATCAAGACAATATAAAGGTACATGTTTTCCTGTTAGAAACAGTAATAAATTTAACATAGAAAGTAAATAGACGGGGTTTAGTACACTGGAGTAGCAATTGAACAAATGACCACAAAATTCTTTGATGTATTAACACAATTTTCTAGTGCAGATTACACATCTTCTACTCTTGTAGGAGCAGTAGGGATATGTGTTCTTGTTATTGGTACTAATATCATTTATCAGATTGATTTCTCTTGTTTTTCTATCTTTTGTTGTTTCGGCAAAAAAAAGGAAGACAAAGCAAATGAAAAAGGTTTTCATTAGGAAAAGAATATTTTTACTAAGAGTTAAAATGCCCTCCATCGTATTTTGGAATTATGATACATATCTATTAGCATAATATTAAATAATCTTTCATTTTCACTTGATCTTGAGTACTTATATGTACCATAATTTCCTTTCCATTTGAATATTAGCAGGATTTTAAGGCATTAAAAATTATTATGCAAAATAGCTTAGGTTAAAATTTTTTCTGTAAATTGCATGTGTGTGTGTGTGTGTGTGTGTGTGGAATTAGCATTTTAATAGGGATTTTTCACTCCTGAAGTTATTTATAAGCTCAAGAACTTGCTATGTATTAATAGATAATCTTTTTGGCTTATTTCACAAGAGGAGTAGAGACAGTGGAGGATATTCAACTACTAATAGTTTTCTTACAAAACCATGCTTGTCAAGGTGACAAGAATGAATTTTTTACTTTAAAACTGTGTTTTCAATTACTGCTGAAATGGACAGGTATGGTACAAGCAACTATCCATCAGAATTGGGGAAATGTAAGAAATAGATGGTTTTCAGCAACTCCAGGCAAATATTAAAAAAAAAAAATCCACATCTGCTGTAAGTGGGTTGCCTATCATGTTTCTAAGGGTTTATAGCTGTTGCCTTTCAATTTTTAATAAGTGGTTAGGAACCTACTGTGGATAGCCTGCTGAAATAAAGAGGGACATGCTAAGTAGCAAAGCGTAGGTCACATTTCTATTTTTATAAAGCACTGTAATAGTTTACCTGTGTTTGGCTCGTTAGATATATTGCTAAAGCATTTTATGATATAGTTTTAGGTGGCCTTAATGACTTAAAAATATTGTGCTCTAGAAAGTTTATCAAGGTGTCATTTGTGTTAAGAATTTGAAATGCACCATTATTTCTTCCTTACACTTACGTTTATTCTTTATAAGATACAAGTAGAACATAGTTCATTTGTCACTTCAAAATGTCTGATTAAAAATAATTATACATGTATGTTTTTATTTATAGTTATATATAGTTACAAGGAATAATAGTAATACTGTGTCTTGTAAATTTAATGATTTTGCTCCATTTATGCAAATGTTCAAAGTTGGTAAATATCTTACTGACCAACACTTGAACTGATTTTCTGTTTCTGTTTTGGTTAATATTTATTTCAGACAAGAGGGATTTATATATTTCAGTGTGCAATGTTTTACCACCAAAATATTTATGTGCCTCTTAGGTATCATTTTGTTTTCGTCATCGATGTTATCAAATGATTTACAAATATTTAGCTTTTAAAACTCTCTCTATTTATATCATACCTGTCGGCTATGATTCAATGTGAACTGATGTATTTATAATAAAAAACATCTATACTATGTAATGTTCACTCTTAGGAAACTGAAAATACTTTCTTATTTTAGTAGAGTGGTTTAAAAATCCTAATATTACAGAAATTTTTTTCTATATTTTTATTGCATCGAATTTGGCTTATAAATGTAGGTATGGTTATTTCACTAGTACCTTGGAATAGCAGGGTTGGAATGGCTTTGAACTTTCATTTCCCTTCATCTTGGACACTTGCCATCCTTTCAAAGTAGCTAAGGGATGGTAGGTTTTAAATGCCAGTGGAAGAAACAAGTTCTGTTCTTGTAGCCATGAAGAGCAAAACTATACTCACTACCATCAATACTTTTCAACTATTTGACTATTCTTATATCCCCAAATTCTGTTATTTTCAACTGTTATAAAACAAACCAAAGTGCCACTAAAGAGAGGCCATAGCAAAACTATCCACGTGTAGTTTTTTTGTTTTGTTTTGTTTTTTTGTTTTTTTTGTTTTTTTTTTGTTTGTTTTTTTGCGGTACGTGGGCCTCTCACTGTTGTGGCCTCTCCCGTTGCGGAGCACAGGCTCCAGACGCATAGGCTCAGCGGCCATGGCTCACGGGCCTAGCCGCTCCGCGGCATGTGGGATCCTCCCGGACCAGGGCACGAACCCGTGTCCCCTGCATTGGCAGGCGGACTCTCAACCACTGCGCCACCAGGGAAGCCCCACGTGTAGTTTTGAAAATCTGCAGTAGCACTGCTTTCAATTCTTATGTGATGTTATAATTTAAATTGCAGTAACTCCGATTTTAACAAAAACAAAGAAAAAAAAAAGTGTTAGCCGTGGTGTTCTTTTTTTTTTTTTTTTGCGGTACGCAGGCCTCTCACTGCTGTGGCCTCTCCCATTGCGGAGCACAGGCTCCGGACGCGCAGGCTCAGCAGCCATGGCTCATGGGCCCAGCCGCTCCGCGGCATGTGGGATCTTCCCGGACCAGGGCATGAACCCGTGCCCCCTGCATCAGCAGGCAGACTCTCAACCACTGCTCCACCAGGGAAGCCCTGAACATTTTGATCTATGTTTTGCAAGTGTCTAATACTGAAGGGTCATGATAAAACCATAGAGAAATGCACAAGGAAACACATCCTGATCCTGTTCAATGTTCAAAGTTGTGAACACTTTGAAATTGTCATCTACCACAGTTTTTACACTACTTATGAAAATTATACTAAAGACAAATGAAATATATATCTAAGGTAAATATATTTTAATTAGTATATGATCATTATGAATATTATTCTGATTATACATTTCCATTTTGGTTTCTAAATAATTGAGACATACTGCCTGCTTGCTGTTTTGTTAACAAGATTGTGTAATAGAATCTGGATACCTGATGAGTCATCTAAAATCATCTTTCATCCTCTTTACTACTATATATCACAGTCATGCATTTAAATAATAGAACTGAAATAAAAGAATTTGTCCTTGAATGCCTAAGGAATGATTTTCATTGCTTTCGCTTAGACACAGAACTGATGTTAAATCACTGAGGTGAGGAGGGGAGACATTAATTAAAGCTTAAGGAGCCTCCTAGCATGCATTCCGGATCAACCAGCTATTCTGTAAATCTCGTAACTAAATCTATACCACACCAGAGGACATCGAATAAAGAAAGTATGGTCTCTGTTGACTAGCACAATGCTAAGTATGACTGTGTGATCAATATAGAGAGTCAAAAATGAAAATTTAAGAAAATATCCTCAGATACATTTGTTCATGACTTGCCCAAAGTCATGTAGCTGTCAGTATAACCAGAAACAAACCATATTTGTATATAACCATATCCAGGTCTATTTTTTACATCATTTTGTTGCAAATAAACAGAATGATTATTGAAGTTGCAATATTACCCTTCAGTGAGGATAAATGGATAAAATGCAGAAACAGGTTAGGTATATTTTTAGCTCTTTAATCACTTCATTACCTCTAATTGTGTAGAAAGAGTAATTTCATATAGGTTTTTGACGGATTAAGTGCTCATCTAACTGTAAATAATTAAATAATAGAGCACGTGATCTGGGCTCAGAGGTTCTCACAGCCTCTTGTCATACAAATCATGTGGGATTCTTGGTAAGAATACGAGCATCATACAGGAGGTCTTATGTGGCGCATTCCTTATGTGTTCCCAGATGATTGCTGCTGGTCTTAGGACTATACTATGAGGAGCAAAAATGTATGCCCTTCTTCATTGCATCCCTTCTTTATTAGCATCTCTAAAATGAGTTTCTATTAAAGGAGCATGAACAGTTTTTTTTTT